GTAGCTGTACGTACTCTGTGACGCGTAGCTGTACGTACTCTGTGACGTGTAGCTGTACGTACTCTGTGACGTGTAGCTGTACGTACTCTGGGCATGCTGAGGACCAGGTGTCCCGTGGTTTGGGATCTCTGAGCTGTCGAGCTGTCGGGCTTCACTTCGGCCGGCAGGACCATCTGAAAGATCTGCAGAGTAAATTATTCATAACTTTAATTAGCGAGATTAATGCGCTGATCCGGCACAGTGTGTCAGATGACTTTAATCATTAGTGAGGTCTTTCTTTAGGAACACATTCCAGAGAAGTCGTGCAGAGAGTGACCAGAATAGCTCCGACTGAGGAACGGTGGCCATCAATCACCGGAGCGGAGTCCTAACGATCCACGTGGTACGAATAATGTGCATTAAAAAGATTAATTTCATAATCTACTTTCATGTGATTGTGAGAGTGAATTTGGGGGAAACCGTGCTAACAGCAGGAGGAGGAGGAGGAGGAGGAGGAGGAGGAGAGCTCCGTCTGTTCTCCTCTGCTGCTGTCAGATGAGACTTGATATACGGATGACCCCCCTCTAAATGACTTCATATTTAGGAAGAACTTTAAAGGCTTGAGTTGATGTATGACCAATCAGGCTGACCCCCGGGCATAAAACAACCTGCTAACAGCCTGAAGTCGAGCCATTCAGGACTCCAGAAAACAGGTTAGACGTGTGAGGCCGGTCCCCCTCCACACACTAGCTGTAAGAGGTGCATGTGATGAGGCTATATACGCCCTCAGATGTGCACAACAGCTGTTCTGTTGGAGACAAAGATGAGACACAAACAGCACAAAAATGATTCAGGGCTTAACGAAACAAATGTGTGTTTATGTTTGCGTCTTTGTGCGTACACACACACACACACAGTGTTGTGGTGAATCTAACATCTAACGACATGCAGGACTGAGACTCCCTTCACAATAAAGCTCAGTCTGACTCATGCAAAGCGGGAAATGAACACCTGACAGCAAACAAACACTAACTGGACTTCTGCTGATGCTGAGTCGTTCCTCTTTTGACAGGAAACGAGTTCATCTTCAGCTCATCAGTTCTTGGATTTACCAGATTAAGAAAAGAAACAGAGAGGCCCTCTCGCCCTGCTGGACAGCTCACATTTTGGGGTAAAATAAACCCAAATGACTTGGCAGCAGGTGTGATAAACTCCCTCCATGAACGTGTCAGAAACACATTTGATGACTCAGCAGCTTCTCGCAGCCTATTACTTGCTCTAAATCTGACGTCAGCAGTCTGTGGTTGAACTGGCAACCCTCCAGTTTCAATGTACAGGGACTAAGAACCTGAGTCTGGAGCTCTGAGGAAATACACGTTACAATAAAATAAAAGTTATTCCATCTCCCTCCTCAGGCCGAGTTATTAGCAACGTGAAGATTTGAAGTTGTTTTGTCTTTGTGTTCTAGAATTTAAAGTTACAAACTATCAGAAACAAGAAGTCTAATCCTAAAAGGTTATAAACTGATCATTAGAATCTCCACAGTGTACCTTTCCTTTGACTTTGACTCTGGCGTACGTCGGCTGGACGTCCACGTCGATCAAGGAGGTGTCCATGTGTCTGAGAGGAGAGGAGGAGGAGGAGGTCAGTTTAAATAAAGAGAGAGAAGTGGAGTAGTGAAGTCTGCAGGGGTCAGCTGTGCAGCCTGGAGGTCACACATGTTCTACACCTCAACTTCTACCAGTACTTGTTTCAAACAACCAACACGATGGTTTCCAGGTTTCCAACTTGAGTTATTATCATCGATCAAATGCACAAGAAACCAACATCGACATGCAGCTAAACAGAAACAACAAGCTATCAGCTGTTATGTAGAGCAAGCAGCAACATCTGACATGAACACAGCTGGATGAGCAGCAGGGCTTTAGATTGTAGTCGTATTAAACTAACCGTGTCTGATGAAGAGCAGAGATAGGCTTTATGTTAAAGTCTCTAACATATATTTGTGCTGTTATATAATATCAGTTGTTGAGAGTTTGGGTTCACAGTCTTCGTACCTGTACACTTCCAGGTTTAACACGATGGTGTTGTTGTCTTCATCTTCAGTGAGAGAGAAGTCCAGCCTGTAGACAGAGAGGAACAAACATCCTCACATGATGAGACTTTAAACACTGAGCTAACACAAGTAGCTCATCACAGACGTGATGTTCTGACCGTTATCCTCCATCGTGCTGATGTGAAGGGATAAATCACATACAGGACACGTTCTCAGATCACAAGATGAAATGTGTTTTCAGGCCTCGACCCTGTGGCCTTGCTCTGGACATAAACCTGGGGGGGTATCATCACAGCCAATCACAAACAACGGCTGCTAATAAAGCAATCAGCCGGGAACCTGGAAGCTGTTTTCCCGCCTCACTGTCTGAGTAGTTCCACCAGGATGGAGGTGATGGAGGTCTCAGGTATGAAGGACGGAGAGGAAACTGTTCTCTTCATTATTTTGTGTTTTTCACCAAAACAACACTGAAGCGTTGAAGTTGACAGAATGAGAAGCAATTATGTTGCTTTCTGCTGCTGCAGCCGAGTGGATTGTTTCCTTCAGTCAATCACAGCTGGTAGTACTGTTACTGCAGTACAAGTACTAATACCACAGGGTAAACATACTGCAGTAC